TAACTTTTATATTGTATAACATTTACTAACTGTTCCAAGACGAACACTCTCCAAGCTGAGGTATAGGTCGACGCCCAATCAAGCAGCGGGTGAAGAACACCCTCACGACCCGGACTAATACATACACTACACTAACGGCCGCAGCCGTTGACGTTCCCGGAATCCCCTCCCCGCAACGTGCGGATGAATCCGTAAGGCAGTGCTGCCAACTGTGCTCGCAGGGCCCATCCAGCGCCGCGAGGATGGCGGCGACCATGGACTTCATGGCGGCGGAGGCGGCGGCGGGGGCGGCGCTGATGGCGGCGGGGGCGCGCAACCGGACGGCGGCGGTGGAGTGGGAGGTGTGGGACCCGGAGGACGGCGATGCGGGGATGGGGGTGCGTCTCCACCTCCTATTTGCTTGCACTCGCTTTATGCATGTTCCTTGCTTCCCTCATCATCATCATCGGAGATGGATGTGATATTTCTCTTTCCTTCTTTTCATTTATTAATGTGATGAGTCTCTTCCATGTTTCTTTTGCTGTGCTTCTCTTCTTCTTTTGCTTGTTTTACTGCTTGATCTTCTCTATCATCGTCATTATCATCAGAAATTGATGTCATCAGTCTCTTTACTTTTTCTTTTCCTTTCTTCTCTTGCTGCTGTATGTTCGTTCGTCTTATCTTCTTGTACTTCTTTTTATACACCTTCTTCGTCATCGTCATCCTCATCATCACATTATGTCATCAATCTCTTCCTTTCTTTCTTTCCTTTACTTATGGTAGTAACCTTCTCTCCTTCCTCGTCTTTATCATCAACATTAAATAACAATGTGGAAATATTATTCTTTATTTTTCCTTTACTTATCTCACTGCGTATTTTCTTCTTATCGTCATCATCATTATCATCATCGCCATCATCATCATGATGGAACGAATCGAATCGCATCAGATAGGATTGAATTGAAGTGGACTGGACTGAATTGAAGTGAATTGAATTGAAGTGCATCGAATGCAATTGGATTGTGGCAGGTGGCGATGGCGGGCAGGGGCCCCGTGATGACGATGTCGTCCGAGGTCGCCGGGGGGAGGGCGGCGGGGGCGGGGGCGGGGCGGGCAAGGCCCGATGACGTGGTCGCCCGAAGACTTGGCGGCCGCCTTCCGCCCGAGGGGGCGATGCCCCCGGGGCTCAGCCGCCGGGGCCTCATGCCGCAGGCGACGCCCGTCCCGCCCGCCCGCCCGTCGCCGCGCCGCTCGACGCCCTCCTCGACTTCGCCCTGGGCGCCGTCGCCCACGAGTTCGTCGCCAACCACTCCACGGAGCTGCCGGTGCCCGACTTCCGGAAGGCGTTCACGGCCAAGATGGGCTTCATCAAGGTGAGTGGCGCCTGCAGCGACACTCTATCGTGGCCGATGGAATCTAATCGAATTGATGCATTTGACGTAGCGAGACTGCCATCTGGCCCACTCTTCCGTCTGACCACGAAAATTTCGCTACACTCCTTTCACCCACTAGCGGAGAAAGGAGGAATATCATGAGCGACGAAACAGGCGATTTGAATTTAGATCAGAGGCTTCGTTTAGGCTTGAGGTTCTTTGACACGCAGAAATTCTGCAGACTTGTGAAAGGAGTCGTTTTAATTAATTCACGAACGGGGCACACGGCCTCAAAATGTGCTTACTTCAGTTTAAAACATTCATTTCATGAGACAGGAGGTGTGACAGTGACCTAATTTCCTCAGCCACTATATAAAAATCTACTTATACTTGTCTCTGCAGATCCTTCCATCGGATTAGATAGCTCAGGGCACCACTGTACTGCCTCTGACAGGGTAGACGTAGGGTTCGAGTCATGGCGCTGGCAGGATTTTCGACACTACAGTACCGGCAGCGTACGAGCGACTGGCAGTTCGATGTGCTGTTGCCAAACATTACGACGCACATACTGACAGGATATGGCAAGTTTTGACATGTTCATAACCTTTGGCACAGCCGAATCTCATCGCCTCCGCGACTTCGTGCGAGTCAGATGAGCGGCAACGCCGAACCCTGGCTGTGAGAAAGGAAACAAATCCTCGCGAGCTGATTGCTTCAGAGCAGGTCACATGACGTACCACAGCTCGTGGCCAGAAAGCTGTGAGAGGCGCTTATACGCTGCCGGTGCTGGAGCTACGCAGCTACGTCGAATCCAGCCGTTGCGATGTCTGGAGGAGAATTCTAGCGGCCCGCAGCTCTGATCGGTACCTTTTTGTCTTCGAGTAACACATTTTATTACGGTAAAATATCTTGGGATAGTTGGGGAGACATTTGGAGGATAAGAAGGGAAATGTGAGAGGGGTAGGTGCGACCCGATTCTTGTTTCTTAAGTGGAATTCTATGAAATCGGAGTTTTGAACATTCTATTACGTTTTAGACCATCATTACTTCTAGGCCCTCTTCATAGAATTCATGGTTAGACACACGCAGATACCCACAATGTATGTAAAATTAAATTTAAAGGGAAAAATAACGGTTCCGTTATAAAATGAAACTGATAGTTGGGATTTTTAAGCAGAACAATCTAAATGCTTTGCAATATTGGAATCGGTACACTCACAGAACTGTGTTTATGAATCTGTATCATGTAGTGGACTGTTCAACCTTGCGTTGAACAATCTAGCCATTTTCACCTTTAAAACAATGATTATCAAAATACATTAGTTACTGAAGCAGATGTCGAGTGTAATTCCATGAACTACAGTTGCTTGCTATATATTAGGCACATTTTGTCTGAGGCATATTCAAAATAACAACGCGTCTACACGCGACAGACATACGCAAATTCCCTTTCATTCACATATAGATATAGGTTAATGTACGTACCTCAGTATGTAGATTTATGAACTCATTTCGTCCTCCATATTCATTCGGACTCTCGTAGTATTTAATTGGCCGCCGGCCGCATATTCCATAGGCTGGCCAGGGCAGGTCCGCCCCGTGCAGACTGTTTTCCGTGATCTTAGCCCGGAGCAGCTCCATTTGCCGTGGGTTGTGCGCAGGGTGCCACATTGACAGCATTCCGCTTTATAGGCTGCAAAACAGCTCTCTCTCCCTCTTTCTCTCGCTCTCTCCCTCTTTCTCTCGCTCTCTCCCTCTTTCTCTTTTTCTCTCTTTCTGTTTCTCTCTTTCTCTTTTTCTCTCTTTCTGTTTCTCTCTTTCTCTTTCTCTCTCTTTCTGTTTCTCTCTTTCTCTTTCTCTCTCTTTCTGTTTCTCTCTCTCACGCTCTTTCCCTCTCTCACGCTCTTTCCCTCTCTCACGCTCTTTCCCTCTCTCCCTCTTTCTCTCTCTCTCGCTCTTTCTCTCTCTCTCGCTCTTTCTCTCTCTCTCTCTCTCGCTCTTTCCCTCTCTCCCTCTTTCTCCCTCGCGTGGCAACAATTTACTTCACGGAATACCGCTCAATGGGCGGAAATGCATTAAAACATATGAGGTTTTGGGCGGGTTTTCAGATTTTAAGGAAATAAAAAAAATTACCAAGACGTTGACTATAACTGATTTATAATTACTTCGAATTATAATTCGCTAATTCGTTTAAATTTACTTCAAGAAGTGAGTCATGTCAGTTTTTAAACCGCTAGTTTAGGATGCGTTCTAAAAGTTATAGCATCTTTGTTGTGCACAACATGAGAATATAGTATCACATTGGCAGTACTTGAAGTTAATTTTAGAACACATCATTTTAAATTAGTCGTCTTTTGAAACAACGGTGTCCCTACCTGCATATTGTTGCATTGGCTGCAGTATTGTTGCACTGATTTCAAAGAAATAAAACGCAGGTTTTTCCGTTTCTGCATGCGAGGCTCGCGACGAAAATCTTGTGAAAGTTGTCAGGATACTTGCAGATGTGGACTTTGCCAATGAATCTTACGTTCAATTTAGCTAAAACATGCAAAAACCTTCCATTGCGATGTGTCAATGTGATAAATAAAGTGATCTCATTTTAAAATAATTATTTTACCCCCTAATGTACTCCTCCCATCTGCTGTAGTCAAAAGAATAGCCATAGCTATTTTTTAAATATTAACATTAACTTATTCCAAAAGGATGTTTGTACATCAATTATTAATTAAATGTTCACAAACAGAAAAAAAATAAGACGAATCAAACATTTCTTAGGGTCACTACCTCGAAAATAAATTCAAATACATGTAATGTTTAAAGCAAATTCAAATTTCCCGCTTGGAAAGTTAAATTTTTCTTATTGGGCGGAATTGGGCGGATTTGCAGCCATCTAACGGCGCGTGTTGGTACGAAGCGTCTGGCAACGCTGGTTGAGCGCAGAGCTTCTGCACACGCACCCAGGCACGCCAAGGCCGCCTGGATAGAGTCTCGGGGAGCCAGGCCCCAGACGGGGATTCGATCACGCGAAAGGTGGCCAGCGGAAGCAGGGCGAACTCACACCTTCAGACGGCGACCCGATGGCCGCACCCACCCTCACGAGACCATTTTCAGTTCTCACTTTAGAGAAGAGACTATATTGTAATCATGCGGCGGACAGCCGCGAGTTTTCGGCAGAAAAAAACTCTTATTCCAGGACCATTGTCACGAAAAAGGGGATAAATCCTGCTATTATATATAGTAAATTATTTCCTTTAACACGTAGTGCAGCCTGAATCAATGTTTTGTGGGCTCTTGATACCGAAAAATCGATTGACGGCAGAATGTCTGTCTATCCGTCCGTGGTCAAAGCTAGCAAAAAGCCCGTTCGGACGACTTCCTCCAAAATTGATTTCTTTAATCAAATCAATTTAAAGGAACTCGAGACTCTCTGGTTTTGAAACGAATATTTTGATTTTTTCAAAACTTTTTACATCTCTGTTTTATTGCAGCTTCACAACAATTTCTAAATTATTTTCATGATATTCCCATTATTTTGTGTATTACAAATATTATCTTTCTGAATAAGAATTTATAAAAGCGTCTGCTACTAGATAACTAGATTTAAATTTATTCACTGACGAGGGTAAAACGAGTTTGAAATTACTTACGATGAAGCGAGTGAGTTATCTTTACCTTACCTGCTTTTGAGTTATCTTTTTATTATTACACGCAATATCTGTCATAAATTCAATATCAGTAGCTCATCATGCTCATTTTCGTTCCACTCGTTCGAAAATGAACCAGTTTTTTGTTTTGTTTTTTCAGTTTATTTATAGTTGCATCAATAGCTAAGATTTTTTGATTAATCTGTATGATTATAATACAACGTGTTTTCCATGGTGAGAATTATATGATATAATTCAATAATTACAATACAACGGTTAGAATTTTCTAACCCTTGTATTACACATTGTTTACGCTTTTACATTTTGTACAAAGCGTAGCCATTGCAGTTTACATTACATATGTCAGTGGTTGAAAGTTGGTCGGTGCATGTTATGATAATATATACAGTTTATTCATTCAAAAATAGTATTACAATTCTTTAAATATATTAAATAATTTTCAGAATTTCTCTTGTAGGGTGTTTGAATGACGCGATGAGTCAATATTACAGTTCTTTAAAATTGATTACTCTGATTGGTTATGTACGGAGTATTCCTAAAGAATGTGTATTATTGTCATTTATACATTGCATATATTGCAAATAGTGGGCGTTTTCTTATTTCTTAGATGAAGGTGATTTTTTTCTAAATGTTTTTGTAATTCTAATGACAGAAACTTACGGCACCGTTTTTATTCATTTTAATTTTATTAAGTTCTCAGTTTGTTGAAGTTTTATATCTTCTTATGGAGACTTATAAGCTTACAGGTCTTCCAATCGTAGCTGCATGTGTTTTTCATATTTTCAAACAAGTACTTCCAGATACCTTTCCTGGTGTATATACTATATTATTTTTCACCAACTGAAGGTCGACTAATATTGTTGGAACATGACTTCCTGGCGCAGCTAATGGTATGTTTTGATGAGAGGGACTCCAGAAGATAACAAGGAAAGTTAATTTTGTTTTTTTCTGCACAGCTCCATATATTCGTTTCTTATTTTAACGTCTTTTCAACTAATGGCATCCATAGACAACATTATATGTATTACTATAAATACCAGTTTAATACATCTCCGTTTAAAATTTCGTAAAATAAGTGAACAAAAATCTCTATATTTTCGAAAAACTGTAAAACTCAGATCTGTAGTTGTAGAACTCATACACACTATGTTTCTTTCTACTGTAGATAATAGCAAATGAACACCTCAATTCTTCACTCTAAGAAACAATAAATTATTTTTACAGTCTCGCCTAACACTACTTTCTTTAAAATTTCTCGGTGAGAGAAAAGTACCCTTAAAGCATGGCACTGATCTCATTTTCGATGAATTCTTAGCGTTTCGAAAATTACAAAATATTAGCATTGCCACAAAAACCAACAATGTGATACATTTTTCTTTAATGAAATATTTTTAGGGCATTTAGTTTCCGTTTTTTGCACTTTGCGTAGCTCCAACTACGGCGGGGGGGGGGGAGGGGGGGCTGGTGTGCCTCGTCGGTGCTTAACCCGTCTGAGCGGCATAAAGCCTAGATATTTCGGAAGCAATGGTCCAGAAATTATTATAATGTATTTAAGAATCACAATTTCATAAAACATTAATAATAGCCTAAACGATACAATTCTTACTTTATTGCTATCGCTTATGCAGTAGAAAGAAAGTTATGTAATGCTGCACGACACAACGGCGCATTTTCGGCAAGAAAACTCATTATTATAGAGTCCTCGTAATGAAACAGTGGATAAATCCGGTTGCTAAATTTAAACAAATCCTCTTACACGTGTAGCCAGAATCAACGTTTTGCGGGTCCTTGATGCCAAAAAGGAGAATGATGGCTAGACAACTGTCCGTCCGTCATATGTCTGTTTGTTATTTGTCTGTCTGACTGTGAATAATCGCTGGCGGCTAAATCGTTCAGCCGATTTTCTCCAAAATTGAAATTCCCCAGCCGATCTGGCTGCCCCTGATGTCGCGGCCCCTTTAATTTAAAAACGATCATTTAATTTTTTTTTTTGGGGGGGGGCTACATTTTGTTGCTGGATAGGGCAAAGGACGTTTGAGGGAATGGTGCAGTCTCATATACGTTAAAAATCTGATTTTTCAAAAATTGCCAAAAATCTAATTTTTTGGTTTCTTCCTACAACTACAATTAGAAGATAAATATTTGTTCCCTTTATGAAATCTGTGCCTTCAAGATAGATTTCGGAATGAGGTCATGGACAATTTTTCGATACTTCGCGTAATTTTGTGCGAAAGTGGGGGCGAGAAAGTACGTGCCATTTACTTGACATGTAACACCACTTCTCTTAGAACACTCAACCGCAGTGAAATCACGCTTGAGAAGTGTCAACGACAGTATTTACACGAGTTTGCTTTCGTCTAGCTTAAAATGAAGGGTTCCCAAATCCTCGCCGGCGTCACAGGCAGAATTCGTTCACTATGCTCCGCGAAGTCACGGAGATTAAGCGAATTCGAATCCCGCGGGTTCCTGGTTGGGTGACCGGCTGGGAATCACGGGATCTAATGGCTCCGAGCCCCTGGGCGAAGGGATAAAAGGCACCGACTGACTGAAACGTGACGGGACTTGACAACGATAGTAAAGGAGGATTACTCAGACCACAGTTGGACGGATAGACGTACAGACATAAAAATAGCCGTCAATTGATATTTTGGAATAAAGGACAGACAAAACATGTATTCTGACGACAAAACGTTTTAGAGAAAGTTGCTGACATTTCAGGCGTTTTACGTTCGAAAATCGCCGTTTCACGACGCACGATTGCAATACTTTCTTTTCTTATAATGTAAAGCAACAGAGTAAAAGTAATTGACTGAGTACGGTGTGATGTCGTAGGCTTCCGGACACCCGGACAGCCCAGATCAAAAGTACGGTATGTTTATTCAGGTTAATTTGGTTACTAATATTACGATAAAACAAGAGAAAGGTAATATATCACAAACAGCATGAGATTTACTCTTTTATTTTCAAGATATAGTCGAATAATAATACATAATAAATAATAATAAATAATAGTAATAAATAATAATAAATATTATTATTTATTACCATCTCGTTTTAGAGACTGTACATTGTAGTTTCTTGGATGATCGACTTGCTCCAGAACAAAATAATCCTTGTAGAATTTATATAATTAACTAAAATACATTCTTATTAACACTTCACTGACACGGGAATTACGTTGCAACACGAACACAATTTTGGTCCCGATAAGGAAGTGTAATAATACGGATATATTATATAATAATTATTAGATAACACGAATTTGTATCTCACTAGCGTAGATTATTCCGGTCCCTTGAAATACGTGTTAACGAGGGTTTACTGCACGCATCATATCTAAGCGATGTTAATTATTTGCGAGTTTTAGGTGCACGGCCATCTAGAGGCGAAAGGAGGAACTGTGGGAGACCTTTCTTCCCTGTTTCGGGACGGCTCCGCTACGCTGCGCCAGGAGAAGGGCGGCGTGTTAGTTCTGGAGGCTGCCGCAGGACTGCGCACCCTACGCCTGAAGTACCGTCACTACTCGGCCCGAGCAGGGCCCATCAGAGTTTCAGGTGTGATAGAGGTGAGAACCAGTCAAAGACTTTTTTTAAATTTATTTGTATAATTGTTTGTTTTAAATATTACATTGTGATAAAAAAGTGTAATGTTTATTCACAATTCTTTAATTTTCATTAACATTGATTTGTGAATAAAATGAACACGAGTGAAAAATTGTTCTGTGACACACTTGTCAGTTACACATAATGGGTTTTTAATTTCATAAAATCATTACAAATTTGTAATATTTGTTGCAATAAATACGCGTGTCATCATTGTAGTCTGTACATAATTTATGAAATTTTTAACCTATCGCTGAGATTTAGGGGTGGTGTTTTAATCTTGTAATGTCCAAGATGTTCACTGAAGGTAATTTGGATGGTTCTCGAATCTTTCCCAGTGAATGCTGAGGAGGCAACTGTAGCCTAGATGTTCTAGCAGTCTCTGTTTCTTTTTTCGAGACAGTCGCGTTTATTATTGAATGTCTTCTTTATATTTTTTTTTACTTTCTTGTACACGTACGAATATACAAATACTACACATAGTATAGATAAGTAATGTCACACTGCTGCAAAAAGTTACAATTTTAAGACAGGAGAACCCGTTTTGTGGCTGCCTGTCTGAGTAAGAGAGGATTTTACTTGCTTCTAAACATAGTACATTACTTTCTTTGCGATATTTTAATAATGTTTGTATTCCTTCTTTATATTTAGTCGTCAAATGACATCAATTACACACCCCGAGAGTTTCAATTTGGAACGGGCAAAATTGCATTCTTTTCGCAATTTGCGCTTCTTTAAACGCGCTATTTCATGAGTACACTGCTCTTATTTTTCAGTATATTTACTATTCCTTAAATATTACAATGTGAATCTTAAAGCCCCGGCAGCGAGAAAGAAATAGTATGAATGTCACCTGTAACATTGGAAGTAATGTTCAACAACGCTTCAATTATTACCCTGCAATTATTGCATTTGGAATTACTTACGAATGTAGACCTTTTCGGTAAACATTTTACAAAACCAAGATTCTTTCAATTAAAAATTATTCATATTAATCACAACTGCTAATTTTATAGTCTATTTTTGTATTATTTAATACTCTCTCTCTCTCTCTCTCTCTCTCTCTCTCTCTCTCTCTCTATATATATATATATATATATATATATATATATATATATATATATATATATATACTATCCCACTCGCGAAAAGAAAACCAATAGTGTAATATACAGTGTTTAACTAAATATGCAAAATGTCTCAATCAGAGCGATGTATCTAAAAAAAGTAGCTTACGCGTCATTAATATTTACTTTGCGGCCATTTTTAAATATATTATTGTACTTCTGTGTACATTTTTTTCAAATGTTTTGATGAAAATTTTAGAAATCTGAAAACTGTATTCAAACTGAAAGGTATCTCTACATTCCGCATTTTGAGAAACGCTCAAATATTTTCTCTAGAACGGCGCCACATGATTCAGCGATACTGTGTCTATAAGATCAGGCTATTTCTGCAGCTTTTGACACGCCCAAACCCATTAATCAATTAATCCAATCATGAGGATGACATTCTCTCGATTTTCTATAACTCGAGAGCGAAAATCTTAACGGAGAGTTACTGCAGATGTACTGCTCAATGCCCAAAGGCAAACGAGACGTATTGCAACAAAGACGCACTTGTCTGTTGCACTTGCTAGACGTTTCTAGCTTCACTACGTACCAAATGTAGCTTCACTACGTGTACATTTAGTTGAACTCTCCTTTTGTTAGTTGTGGTGAGAGTAGAGCGGGGAGTTTGCCATACTATTTTCTTATAAATACTAAAAACTGGATTCTGTAGTTCGTTTACTAATGCTAGCAACTTTCTGTAACTCGGGAGCGAAAACGTCTATTTTCAAATGTTGCTAACCTCGCTTTGTTGGTACTTTTTGTTCACCATTTACTTATTTATTATTAGATGGAGAAGAGATTCCAGATTTCAAGAAAACGTGCGCAAATTATATTTGGACCGACTCTCGGACCGACTCTCCGACCGACTCTCGGACCGACCCTCGGACCGACCCTCGGACCGACCCTCGGACCGACCCTCGGACCGACCCTCGGACCGCACCCTCGGACCGACCTCCCGACCTGACGGCGACCCTGACCGACCCGGACCGACCCTCGGAGACGTGATCGCACCCTCGGACCGACCTCGGACCGACCCTCGAACGACCGGAGTACGCTACCGAGCCCTCGAACCGCACCCCGAAACGGACCCTCGAGGAGGACCCGACGGGCCTGCGAAACGGACCTCGAACCGACCCTCGAACCGGACCCTCGAACCGGACCCGACGACCTCGAACGACCCGACCGAACTCGAAACGGACACTGGAAACGACCACTGGAACCGACCTCGACCGACCCTCGGACCGACCCTCGAACGACCCTCGAACACGACCCTCGAACAGACGCCTCGAACCGACCCTCGACCGAAACCGACCCTCGAACCGACCCTCGAACCGACCTCGACCGACGCCTCGAACCGACCCCTCGAACCGACCACTTCGAACCGGACCTCGACCGACCTCGAACTACACTCGAACCTAACACTCGAACCGACACTCGAACCGACACTAGAACCGACACTAGAACCGACACTAGAACCGACACTAGAACCGACACTAGAACCGACACTCGAACCGACACTCGAACCAACACTCGAACCGACACTCGAACCGACACTCGAACCGACACTCGAACCGACACTCGAAGAGTCACCCGAATTGAATCCAATGTAAAATGTTTGAAAATGATGAAACTGTTGCGCAGGCGGAGGCGTCGCCGGTCACGCTGCGCGCGCAGGTGTCGCTGACGCCGCCGTGCCGCGCGCAGCTGCGCGCGCTGGCCGTGGCGAGCGTGGGGCGCGTGCGCGTGCGGGCGACGGGGCTGGGCGCGCTGCGCCGCCTGCTGCCGCTGCTCGAGCGCTGGCTGCAGAAGCGCCTTCAGGGCGACGTGGAGCGCTCCGTGCTGCAGCGCCTCGAGGGCATCGTCAACGCGCACCTGCAGCGCCTCTCGTGCTAGCGCGCCGCCCACGCGGCCTCTTGCGGTGAGCATGCATGCCACGCGGTGCGGCGCTCGCGGTGCGCTTCCAAGGCCTAAGGGCGGTGAGCATGTATGGCACGCGGTGCGGCGCTAGCGGTGCGCTTCCATGGCCTGCTGGTGGTGCGCTTCCATGGCCTGCTGGCGGTGCGCTTCAATGGCCTGCTGGCGGTGCGTTTTCTTGGCTTGTTGCCGATGATCATGCATGCTACGCGGTGCATCGCGAGAGGTGCGCTTCCATAGCCTGCTAGCAGTGCGCTTCCGAGGCCTACTGGTGGTACATTTCCTTGGCCTGCTGGCGGTGTGCATACACGGCCTGCCGATTGTGTGCTTCCGGCCAACTGTGCGCCTCCGTAGCCTGCTTGCGGTGTGCATGTATGTATGGCCTGCTGGTGCTGCGCTTTCAAGACCTTCTAGCTTCGCGTTTCTTTGACCTGCTGGCTCTGCGCTTCCTTGGCCTGTTGGCGGTGCTCTTCTAAGGCCTGCTAGTGGTGTGATTCCACGGCCTGCTGGCGATGTGCATGCATGGCCTACTGGTATTGTTCATCCATGACCTGCTGGAAGTTCGCTTCCACGGCCTGCAGATAGTGCTTCCATGGACTGCTGGCGGTGTGCATCCATGGCCTGCTGGTAGTGCTTCCATGACCTGATAGCGATGCGGATCCGTGGCCTACTGGCGGTCGATGACCATAGCTTGCTAGCGTTGTGCCTCCATGGCCTGCTGGCGGTGAGCATGCATGGCCTTCTGGTAGTGCTCTCATGGCCTGCTAGCGGTGAGTGTCCATGGCCTGCTAGTGTGTGATTCCATGGCCTGATGGTGGTGCACATGCATGTCACGCGGTGCGCTTCCATGGCCTGCTGGCCGAGTGCATGTGTGTATGGCGTGCTGGCGCTGCGCTTTCTTGGCCTGCTGGCGTTGCGCCCTAATGGCCTGCTGGCACTGCGCTTCCAAGGCCTGCTGACACTGCGTTTCCTCGGCCTGCTAGCACGGTGCATTCATGGCCTTCTTGCGGTGCGCTTCCATGTTCAGCTAGATGTGTGCCTTCATGTCTTGTTTGCGTGAGCTTCCATGGACTCGTGGCGCTGCGACGCCATCTTGATAAAATCACATGGGTGTTCTGTTCCGCATTCTTTTCGGCGTGAGCCAAAGACCCACATGCACCACTTTGCGGGAGAATATTAGCGGGAATTTTAAATGCAACCCGATACCAATATTATCTCCTTGTTACAAGTCATTGAACCAGATGCATGAATCATTTGTTTAAATTTTGAATTTCAAAATATAATTGTTGTTTGTTTTTCAAAAAAAATATTCCATTGTTTTCAATTACGTATTTCGCTTGTCAATGAGAAATTAGGGTAATTTGAATTGCCTTTGCTCTGTAATTATACAAGATGAAAAGGATTTTCTTCCTGAGGAGACATAAAAATGTCAATGTCGTCCTTGTTACTATTTACAATATTTATAAATTTTCACAATAAGAGCTTCATTTATTTTTACTATTTTAAAGCCGAAAAGGCGAGGTAATTGATACTTCCTTGCAAATTTTCAAATGTATTCAAATTAGAGAAACTAAGAATACATCACCTTTACGTAAATATACAACGGTGTACTAATTTATTGTCACGTCCGTTATAGTAATTTATTTTATTTTTTATTAAATAAAATTTTGTATTTTCGTAAATTTCGTGAACGAAATTGGATTTGTCTTCTCATCAACAACTGAATGTATTTGTTAACAGTTAAAATGCACGAAAACGTCGTATAATTAGAATTACTCTTAATTTGAGTATTTTTCATATATTTTTTAACTAAAAAGCGTTACCAGCACTTCTTGTCTTCCATTTCAAACGAAGTGCCCATTTCGTGGTCACAAGGTTTGTGACGTATCTGATGCTGCACAGAACGAACAAAAATCGTTTCGGTAGTAATTTAGTTTTCCATTTTTTAATGCAGAAATTTTAATGAACATGAAACTTATAGAACCATATTTTTCTGATCTATAATATTCTTAATGTTTCAATTACATTTTAGGGGACCGTAAAATTAAGAAAATGTTAAAAATTATTATTAGGTGCCGATAGATAGCAGCTGGAAAGAGGGTAGGGCAATACTGAAACTATAGCTTAAGACTAAAGAATGCAGAAAAAATAATGTGTAAAGGATGTGCTATTCTGTAGCTCTACTAGTTTATCTTCCCTATCTTCCCGTTTTACATTGTTGTAGTTTTCCGCTATCTTCAATATTTTCGTTTAAGTTCACTGAGTCTTATCCCATATTCAACAACTTGCCGACTCTAATGCCGTATTTTTATTTTTCAGATTCTGTCGTTTGTATTGGAGATTGACAGATCCTGTACGTGATATAGTGGAATACAGACAATGATCTACACATTTTTCAGATTTGAACGACATTACGACGATCTCAGAAGAGTTGTGCTGTCCTATTGATTTGTTCATGTTTCATTTTAATTGTTGAAATAATTTTGTTTACATAGAATTGTAAATAATATATTTTAATATGCTCGAACTAGACGATAAATAAATGTACATTAAAGTATAAAATATCATCAAGTTTTTCATTCATTAAAGAATCAATGAAGTCGACCTTGCTGTTGTCGACACACACACACACACACACACACACACACACACACACACACACACACACACACACACACTGGCTAATCCGACAAGCAAACATACTTTTCATTTGTATGTAATATCATTCGTAGGATGCAATAGTGGTACAACTAAAAATGTCAGGTTTCAGATAAATACGTTTGAAGTTTCACCTTGTATTGAAGTGCATCATTCTTGCATTCACACTTCTGCCATTTGTTGGTGGAATACTGTTCTGTATGCAGATATGCAACTGTTGCTGCTGAGAGGTAGACTAACCTGACTTCTGGAGAGTGACTTAATTCAAAATTCGTATTTTTTGAGATGCGCCACTACAGTCCCTGGCCATATTATTAGACGCACCCTAAATTTTCAATAAAATTCACGTTTTAGTAACGAAAAATGTATTTTTTTATTTCTAACGAAATACATAAGTAATAATTAAATACTTACGATAGAAACAAGATATCATATGCAAAATTATGACTGTGAGTATAATATTTAAACTAATTTTCATAAAAAATCTCCATACATATGTATATCTTTAATACTTTGTCAGGCCACCTTTGGCGGCTATTAGAGCTTTAATTCTTTTTGGTATGATATTAATGCATGCCTGGACAGTTTCTTGCAACTTTGGATGATGGTACCAGACTTGAATTATTTTCAAGGAGGCAAATTTTTGTTGTTATTTCTTAATTTGCGATTTCCTCTTTATGAGCTCCCAAACATTTTCTATTGGGTTCATATCTGGTGAATTTCCTGACCATGGTAACACAGGAACATTTTTCTCCAACAAAAATGATCGAACTGTTCGAGCAGTATGACATGGAGCCCCATCTTGCATAAAAACAAATGATTCTTCATTTGAGAACCATTCCTGTAGTTGAGGCAGCAGTCGTTTCTCGAATACTTGCTTGTACTGGTCCTGTTTCATGATGCCCTTAACCAAGTACAGACACCCCGTGCCTTTGCCACTGATCACTGAACGCCCATGCAAGACGTTTTTCTTTCATACCAGCTGTTAATCTGGGTTTGTGGGCTGGTCTACAAGCTTTAAAGTTCATTTGTAGTAGTGTACACCTTACTGTCCTTTCAGATACACAGATTCCACTACTTTCCAATTTAAATTTAATTTGTTTAGTAGTAGCACACCGGTTTTCATGGCAAATCTTCCTCAAACATCTCTCAGATCTTGGTGAAAATATTCTCTTCCGTCCACATGTGTTCTTCCTTCGTGGGGATAATTCTTCACCAAGGACAATTTTTTTTCTTAATTCGCCGAATAGGTGTCTCGGATATGTTCAACCTTCGAGATAACTCACGATTTGAATAATTTTCTGAGTCGACAAAAGCTTTCACTGCTGCGATCTTCCGATGAGACAAATAACTTGCCTTTCCCATTATTTTTATTCAAAACTATCAGTTTTTCGTATACAACAATTCATAATTTTTAAATAAACACGGCTATACCTATTTCACAAACTAATAAATGGAAAATAAACTATCTTCATGCAACAACACACTACTCATGTCACCTCATGTTCTACTCAACTCTTGTAATTTGTGCGTCTAAGCAACAATGAGGTGTCACAACAATGGTACATAATGACAAATAATGTATTAATTATTAGAAAAAGAAGCTTTGTATTTATTGATTGATTCGCAACAATGCCAGATGTAATGTACTGCAGTGAGAGGCTTCAAAACTTAACATTTTGTTAAAAATTTGGAGTGCGTCTAATAATTTGGCCAGGGACTGTATTGCAGCCCACGAGCGGTTTGTAAAGGGCGTGCAAGCAATGATGGATGTAGTCCGACATCCATCGCGCTGGTTAAGATAGGGCCACAACGTATACACTGCCAATCCCCGAATCCTAAGCTGGAAACCACCCAACGAGCTAGAATATACTACATAGAGTGGCTGTCCCTATAGTGTCAGCGCTTTGGTGGAGGCTCACAGAACAAGGGGCCGCCATGTTTTTTGAAGTCAAAGCATACGAGTGGCTGTGTAACCGTCCGTAACCAGCACCGAACGTAATGAAAGAATACTTGGTTTCCCAGAGGGCGATGCTTTGTCTGCAAGAACCTGCTTTCAGTTTGCTGCGAAGATGGACGCGCTTATAGCTCGTTGGAACCACCCTAATAAATTTTGCCTACTGTTCCCCGGTGGTCAGTCAGAACCATCTGCACCAAGTTTGGCTTCCTCACCTGATCTACAGTGGGGGCCTAGGGGCTCCTCTCTTGCGAGGGGAGACAACGGCGACCCTGAAAGACGTCCTCGCCCTCGTCGTCGGACTCGCTCTCGTCGTCGGACTCGCTCTCGTCGTCGGACTCGCCCTCGTCGCCGACCTCGCTCTCGTCGTCGACCTCGCCCTCGTCGTCTTTGCTTTCGTTGTCCTCGGCGTCGTCCTTGACCTCGTCGTCCTCGTCCTCTAACGTCAAACGGAATACTAGAATACTCTATTTCTGCAGAGGTCGCGGCTTTGAATGCAAAAAAAAGTATGGTAACAATAAAATGTTAGATGTAAATAATTTACATAAAACAGAAGAAATGTTAGTAGTGAGATTATGAACAGATCGCACTTACGAAGCCCGTAATACGACATTTGTTCGTCATGCACCGACAAGAGGTCGTGGCAAACTGTCACCATGGCAACAGAGTTAATGAGGAAGTTATTAGTTGCAACGTATTTATTTCAAACGGATTGTTGAGTGGAAGGGAGAGGTGGGGCAAACAAAAACTACATAAAACTGAGATGAAGAAATTGTAAATACAACCAAGAAAAATCCAATTTAACCCGATCTAATAGAGAACTGGTTGCTTTCAATAACAGTATTGATTGAATTTTTGATTTTTATTTGCAAGTTTCTGAGATCAAACGAGGACTCTTCCGCATTTCAACTTCAAAAATTTTGGGATTTCAGAAATCAAAAGAATGGTTATATTCTATCCGATGTTTGGAAAGAGAACTCTGCTGACATGGATGTTCTTTAATATTTCTTCGATGGTCGTTCATTCGTATTGAAAGCTTTCTACTGGCTTGCCCGAAGTGATTCTTTGGACAGCCATTACATTTATTTCATAAACAACATTTAATTTACTTAATTTGGAAACATAATCTTTAACATTTTAAATAATATTCTCCTTATATATTTTGTTATAACCGAAAATTGTAACACGTTCAAGTTTATTATTGATGGTAGGTACAAAAGGTATTACAAGAGCTTGAATAATTTCTTCTTTCAGTTTTGAGAATTTGTTGCTCTTAGTAATTTCAATAATTTCATCCTGTTACTTGCATGTTTGTTAACAAATCTTTCAGGATAATAATTTTTTACAAGAATTGTATTAAGAATTTGTAAGTTGGTATCATGAAACTTAGGATGACGGAGTTTGATGGCTCGATCCGTAAGATTATACCCAATACCAATTTTGGTTTCCTTCGGATGTAGCGACCAAAGTTAAGAACTTGGCCAGCATAAGTTGGTTTCCTAAAACAATTTGTAATAACAGGATTGTTATTTCTTTTATAACGTAACTTCTAGGAAATTTATTTGTTTCTTCTTTTTTCCATTTTCTATTGTAAAATTCAAATCCGGACGGAATTCATTAAAAGCTGTAATTACATCATTAACATGTTTACTGTTTAATGTTATAATGGTATCGTCGACGTAATGGCGGTAGAATCTTACACCAAAACTAGATAAGACGAATTTAAGGCATTTTTAATTATCTCTCATATTAGCAGCGCGATTACCGATTTGGTTTGGGGGCACTTTCCACCAATTATTTGCCTACACCCTTTCCTTAGATCTTCCTTTCCAGGGCAATTTGGTGGCGCACATTTACACCGCCAGTTTTTTCTCTCGATTTGTTTTATTCTTATTTCTTTCTACATTTCTAGAAGTATAATATACTTACACAAACATTTCCACGCTTGAGAAGTAGTATTGAATTTAACGTTCTCGTTGTATCGTGAAGCAATGCTTATTACATTCCTGGAACTCTATTGCTCCGATTTTAGAATATATTTGTCTCGAGTTTTCTCTGGTGTATTTTCAGTGAAACCCACACAAAAGACATTCGCAGACCACAATTTCATCTTAAAATGTAGAAATCCTAAAATCTTTGAATATGTCACCTTTAATATCCCTGACTGCTCACCATTCCTCTTGAATATTCAATAAGGGACAACGCAGGTTCGCGAGTTTCGAATGTATTTGAATACAAAGCACAACCTTTGGGTTCTTCGACCAACGCGAAGTGAAACACAAGTCTGAAGGGGAAACCTAAGGTGAGATTTCGGCGGAAGGAAGACATTCATTTGCAAATCCAATTGTTTCCAATTTGGTTTCCAATGCCAAAACAATCCACTGTGTCAAAGGATTTTTTTGCGTTCGCAGAAAGTAGACGATTTACCAATAATGTTGTTCTCTATAAACTGACGCAAAAAATATCCATAACACTTACCACGCGGAATTCAGTGATTTTCCAACTTCTATTTCATTTTATCTGTCTTTCTAGATAGCTCAAATCTGAGAAACTCGCAATTACTAAGATTTCATTTCATTTCATTTGTGTAACGTTTGTAAACGTAAAGCGGAAATGAGTTTTAATATAATTGACACCATAGAAGTGAAAAGACTAAAATGGTATGGGCACATGCAAAGATTGAATGAAGAGCGGTGGCCGAAAATATTGTAGAAATGGCAACCAGCTACCCAACGACGAAGAGGAAGACCTAGACTTACAGGGGGAGAGGGAGTTGATGAGGCAATGGAGAAGAGAGGATTAAGTAATGAAGACTACACCGATAGAGAAATGTGGAGGCTGCGATGCGAGAGACACACTAGAGTGTAATAATATCTCGCTATACTACTACTGCTTCATTTGTGTTACTCCATGTCTCCAGCCTATCCAATCCGGTTCCTAGTAT